CGCGTCTGGTTGGCAGTTTTACCACGCCACCTCGCGCCGGGTCCTTGCCTCTCAGGACGTCACTTTCTTCCCCTACCGCACTGCCCCACTCCCCCCCCCGCCTCTCTTCCTCGCACCAGGTGCTGCTGTGGTAGACCCCCTCCCCCCTCAGGGTGCCGCTCCCTCAGGTGTGTCCCAGGTAGACCCGGTTGACCCTGTTGAGGTAGCTGTTGACTCTCGTCCTGCTGGGGGTGCGGAGCCTGGGGGTGCTGAGCCTGGGGGTGCTGAGCCTGGGGGTGCGGAGCCTGCGGTTGCGGAGCCTGGGGGTGCGGAGTCTGGGGGTGCTGAGCCTGGACGTACTGAGCCTGGGGGTGCTGTGCCTGGGGGTGCTGAGCTGCAGAGTTCTGGGTCTGGGAGTGCTGAGTCTGGGGGTGCTGAGCCTGGGAGTCCTGCGCCTGGGGGAGCTCTCTCCTCGGAGCAACTGCGTGAGTGGTACTCAGAGTACTGCAGCCTCCGGAGAGGTGCCTCTGGGACCAGGAGTGCTGCTGCGACTGGTGCTGGTGCCTCCCCTCCTCAGCGGGAGCTGCCCTCTCTTGAGCGGATCCGCGAGTGGTACGAGCGGCGCTGCACTCTCCGGAGTGGAGCGCCTGGTGTCGCGGACCCTGGTGCTGGAGGTGCTGCTGCTGTTGCTGGAGGCCCTGCTAGTGCTGCGGACCCTGGAGCTGGAGCTGCTGCTGGTGCTGCGGACCCTGGAGCTGGAGCTGCTGCTGGTGCTACAGACTCTGACGCTGGAGGTGCTGCTGGTGCTGCGGACCCTGGAGCTGGAGCTGCTGCTGGTGCTGCGGACCCTGGAGCTGGAGCTGCTGCTGGTGCTGCGGACCCTGGAGCTGGAGCTGCTGCTGGTACTGCGGACCCTGGCGCTGGAGCTGCTGCTGGTGCTGCGGACCCTGGAGCTGGTGCTGCTGGAGCTGCCGCGGGTGCTGGTGCCGTCTCTCCTGGTTCTGGAGTCACTGAGCGGCCCCGACCGTACTTCGTTCCGCTTCTCCAGCAGGTTCTTGGTCAGCCTCCTCCTCCTTGTCCTGCTCCCTCCTTAGAGTGTCCTCCGCCTGTCACGTCGCAGTCGCAGTTACCGCCTCCCTCGCCGCTCCCCGGTCCTTCTCCTTACACTGGTCCCACAGGAGGTCTTACGGAGCGTCGTGAGCCTGAGTCTCGTCCTGTGTCGCCTGCGTCTCGCTCTGCGTCGCCTGTCCGTGCTGCTCGCACTGGTCGTCGTGTCCCGCGTGAGCGTCCTCCTCCTGTCCCTGGCACTCACTACATGACTCTGCGTCCCTCCACTACTAATCAGCGTGTCCTTCTGCCGTCTCCTCCTGCGTCCTCTCTTCCTGAGCTTCCTGACCCGGAGTCTGACTCCCTTCGTGCTGCCCGTCCTACTGTCACGCGTCTCCTTGCTACTGTTGTCACTGACCCTACCTTTGAGTCCTCTGCTGCGTCTTCTCTGGTCGCTGAGTTAGTTGACTTTGCTGCCGCTTGTCGTCTCGACTACGCCGCTAGCCTAGTTGCTGAGTCTGGGTCTGTCTGTCCTCCGTCCGTCGGGGGTGAGTGTGCTCTTGGCACGGACGTCCTTGAGGACAGGCATGAGGAGTTCCAGTGCTTTGCTGCTGCTTTACCTCATCTCGTGTCCATGCTAGTTGCCCCTGAGGGAGACCCGGATGCACCAGACATCCCGACCCCGCGCTCTTACGCAGAGGCGATAGCGGGTCCCTACTCCTCTCAGTGGCAGACAGCCATGGACGCAGAGATGGCTTCCTGGAAGTCCACAGGCACCTACGTCGACGCTGTTCCCCCACCAGGGGCGAACATCGTCAGTGGCATGTGGATTTTCAGGGTGAAGCGGCCGCCGAGTTCTCCGCCTGTCTTCAAGGCGCGTTACGTTGCTCGAGGCTTCAGCCAGCGTGAGGGAGTCGACTTCTTCCAGACCTTCTCCCCCACCCCGAAGATGACCATTCTTCGGGTGCTGCTGCACATAGCCGCTCAGCGTGACTACGAGCTTCACTCTCTTGACTTCAGCACTGCTTTCTTGCAGGGCAGTCTGCACGAGGAGATCTGGCTGCGCCGCCCTCCTGGCTTCACTGGGTCGTTTCCTCCTGGTACCCAGTGGAGCCTCTGCCGGCCAGTCTACGGTCTCCGCCAGGCACCACGTGAGTGGCACGACACACTGAGGACGACACTTGCGGCACTTGGGTTCGCGCCTTCTACTGCTGACCCGTCGCTGTTTCTGCGCACAGACACTTCGTTGCCGCCGTTCTACATCCTCGTGTACGTCGACGACTTGGTCTTTGCCACTGCTGACACTGAGGCTCTCGCCCACGTGAAGTCGGAGCTGCAGAAGAGACACACGTGCACAGACCTGGGTGAACTGACAAGCTACCTTGGCTTGCGGATCACCCGGGACAGAGCACGCCGCACCATTACCTTGACTCAGTCACACATGGTGCAGCAGGTCCTTCAGCGCTTCGGCTTCACGTACTCCTCGCCTCAGTCCACTCCTCTGCCTACCGGTCACCCGCTCTCAGCTCTGCCTTCGGATGAGTCCGTAGAGCCGAGTGGCCTGTATCCAGAGCTTGTGGGCTGCCTCATGTACCTGATGACCTGCACTCGTCCTGACCTTGCATACCCTCTTAGCATCCTTGCACGCTATGTCGCTCCTGGCCGTCACCGGAAGGAGCACATGGATGCCGCTAAGAGGGTGTTGCACTACTTGTGCAGTACGTCGGGCATGGGGCTAGTGCTTGGAGGGCGAGACCGAGTTGTTCTCACTGGACACTCAGACGCTTCTTGGGCGGACGACCAGGCCACTCAGCGGTCGTCTCAGGGTTACACCTTCAGCCTTGGCTCCGGTTCAGTTTCTTGGCGTTCTACACGTTCTTCTTCAGTTCTCAGCTCCAGTTGTGAGGCTGAGATCTACGCCACAGCCATGGCGGTCGAGGAGCTACGCTGGCTCACCTACCTGCTGACCGACTTGGGAGAGCAGCCTCGTTCTCCTCCAGTGCTGTACGTCGACAACAAGGCTGCCATTGCCTTGTGTGAGGAGCACAGACTGGAGCACAGAACAAAGCACATCGCTCTGCGGTACTTTCTGGCTCGTGAGCTGCAGCAGCGTGGTCAGCTTTGTCTGCGTTACGTGGCCACTCAGGCCAACACTGCTGACGTGTTCACCAAGGCGCTTCAGCCTTGTGACCATCAGCGCTTCTGTACTCTTCTAGGCCTTGTGCCTACTGGACCTCACTTGCTTACTTCTTGACTTTGTTTGTACTGTGATCTCTATATATATTCCTGCATGCTTTCACTTGCTAGGTTGTGATCACTGTACCTCTTGCTCTACTATCAAACTGCATGTGAACTGGTCTTGTGACCACTCTCTTGTTCTTGGAATTTGTGTGGTATCCCTTGAGATCCACCCTGAGCTTGCTTGTGCTTTGCTTTGCTCTGACTGGTCTTGTGACCCCTTGTTCTCCCCCACTTTGCCTATGGGGGTGTGTCAAACATTATATCTGTTGTTGTTGTTTAGGCTACAGTGGGTTAGCCTTTAGGGGGTACACAAATTCTAGGGTTGCATACTTGTACTCACATTCTTGCTAGTCATTCCCATTCCTGCCAGTTAGTTTCAACATCATTACCCGTCGCTTACCTGCGAGCTCTGCAGCGGTCAGCACATGTCTCGTTACCATGATCATTATGTCACCCCGCGCCAGGAGAACTTCACCAACTGGAACCTGACTGTCAAAAAGGTTCATGACATGAACGGTATAAGCAGGAAGACCCCATCCCCTCGTCGTCTTTCACTTCCTTTACCTTCGCTTTCCAGTTCGCTCATATCCTGCCTCCCGAATCGTACTGATAACTGTCTCCTCACCTCCTCCCGCAGCGGCTTCCCTGAAAGCCACAACGTCCCTGACACGCATTCTAAAAGATCCCGCAATCATACTTACCTCTACGGGAGGTGTGCGGGAGGAGTGGGTGTGCGTACAGACCGTTTGCGAGAAGGCTCAGGGGAATCGTTTCGAGCAGGCGGCGGCCTATGTTGCTTCTGCCAGGCACAAGGGAGGGCTGAAGAACGAAGGCGCTGCAACACGTGCCAGCAAGCACTCCCAGAAGATGGCTGCTTTCAAAAAGGAGTTCATGGCCATGCCGGCAAAGAAGTGACCAGCGGCTTAGCGGATGAGATGACGTCGTGGTTGTTTGGAGCAAGTTGTGTAGTAGGTGCCATGTTCTCCTTCGCTGTAGCAGGATGCATCGTCGCAATAAAGATCAATCGCCCGTGGATGCTGTGGGGCTCAAAGGAAGTGGTTAATGGATAAAGCAACAGCTTAACCTTTCTCGAGCTCAACATCAACGGGCTCGGTAGCTGTGGGAAACAAGAGAGATGTGGAAAGTGGGTCAGGAAGGCAGCACACATAGTTGTACTCACCGACACACGAGTTTCACAAGATCATAACTTCTGGACGCAGGTCAGGTCGGAAGCTCAGGCGGTGGTTACCCCGTCACAGAGAGCCGGGGGGGTGGCGGTCTTGGGCTTCCTGCCAGGCATGCGGTTCACAGACGTGGTTAAACACAAGTCTGGCAGGCTCATAAGTTTGATGATTGCATGGCGGGATCTTTCCCGCAGGGTGGTGGCTGTATACCTACCTGCACAGGCACCCGCTAGGGGGGTCTTTTTTCGTGACGTACTAACGCCCTTTGTGCAGAGCTTGGGTGCCTCTCTGTATACCATATTGCTCGGTGACCTGAACTTCGTTGCGGATCCAGAGCTTGACAAATCCTCCAAGCTTGGCACGCCGACGGAGAACCAGAGGCTCCTGCAGATTTTCTCGAGATGGGATCTACAGGATGCTTTTCGAAGCCTCCACCCGACCAGGAAGGAGTACACTTTCTTCTCGAGGTCTGCGAAAACAAGCACGCGAATTGACAGGGCGTTAGTTTCACACTCCTTGCTGGGGTGTGTAACGGAGGCAAAGCATTGTATGGTACCCTACGGCCTGACAGACCACTGGTTTGCAGTGAGGGTGACGCTCAAGGCGGCGGCAGCAGATGATCATGGGCCGGGGTTGTGGAGGCTCCAGATGCCTCGGTCCGGGGGTGATGGTGTCAAGAACATCGTCTCGGTGGTGGTGTCGTCACATGAGAGCTGTCCGGATCAAAGCTTGGAGAGACTTGTGGTGAACCTGCGTGCATGTATGCGTGCTCATGTAACAGAAGAGAGAAAGAGGGTGAGAGCGACTTTGTTACACCTGGAACGGAAGGTGGAAGAGTTGCGATGGAAAGTGATGGCGGACGCCTCATCGCAGGCCCTATACGAGGAGCTGGTCAAGGCTGAGGCAGCACTTAAACTCTATCAGGATGATAGCAAGGAGCGGCTACAGGTCATGACGGGGCTGCTGGTGGAGCTGGCCAGTGAAACGCCTTCGGGTTTCCTGTCGGGTTTGGTCAAATCGAGAAAGGCAAAGACGGAAATTATGGAGCTGGTATACAAGGGGGTACAGAGGAAAGGGGCGAAGGAAGTACTGCAGGCGGCTTCTGAACATTTCAGGGAAGCGTACGCGGAGGCAGCGCCTGGTCGCACTGCGGAGCCATGGCCGATAGATGAGGGAAGGAAGCTGCAGGAGACGGACAAGCTGCAGCTGGATGCGGAGTGGTCGGAGCAAGAGGTGAAGGCAGCGCTCAGAGGCTTACCAGTGGGGAAGGCCCCGGGACAGGATGGGCTGCCGAAGGAGTTTTTTGAACGCAACTCGGAGCTGCTTGGCCCGGCTGTGATGAAGGAGGTTCGTGGCTTCGAGTCGACGGGGGTACTCTCGGAAGCCTTTACAACCGCGGTAACCATTCTGCTGCACAAGAAAGGAGACAGAGGCGATTTGGGAAATTACCGACCGATTACATTACTCAGTTTCTTTTATAAGCTACTGGCGAAGGTGATGGCGAACAGAATGAAGCAGGTCTTACCGCGGGTCATCTCGGACAAACAGTTCGGCTTCCTCCCGGGGAGGAGCCTAGCCGATGCGGTCTCGCTGGTAGCGGATGTAATTGATGCCGCGCAGGAGGAGGATGAAGATTGGCTGCTGCTGCTGCTGGATTTCCAAAAGGCTTACGATTATGTGTCCCGGGGCTACCTGTTTGCGACGCTTAGTGATATGGGTTTCCCGGAGAAGTTTGTGCGGTGGGTGAGGGGCCTGCACGACGGCGCGCCGACCAGGATGCTGCTGAACGGTTGGGTAGGAGAGCGTGTGGCAATGGACAAGGGAGTGCGGCAGGGATGCCCGCTTGCTCCATATCTCTTCCTTTGCGCGGTGGAGCCGCTCTGCCAGGAAATTGGGAGGAGGAATCTGGGTGTTCGGAAACGAGGGGTGAAGGGGGAGTTAGCCTACATAGGATATGCCGACGATACAACACTTGTCTTAAAAGGAAAGGAGCAAGTGGCTACAGCGAGTAAGCTGCTCGACGACTTTGCAGAGCTTTCGGGGCTGAGAGTGAACAGCAGCAAAACGACGCTGATGCCACTGGGGAAAAACAGGAGGAGACTGCTGCCGATTGAGTCGCCCTTCACGTGGGTTGACAAAGACAAGTCGGAGCGGCTTCTGGGAATCTGGATAACCTCTGGCGGGTCGCCGGGTCCTGCATGGGATAAAGCATTTGAAAAGGTCAGTGCGGTGCTGAGCTGCTGGGAATCGAAACACCTCAAGACGTCGGCGCGAGTTACGATCATCAACAGCTATGCGATGCCGATCCTGCTGTTTCAAGCGCAGATCTATGCCCCGCCGCACGATATCTGGACCAAGGTGAAGAGGCTGTGTCACAACTTCATCTCGGGAGGAAGGGCGGTCCTCGATAGGCATTTCACCCTCTGGAGTTTGACCTGTCGTGCAGGAGACGGAAGGAAGGGGGGCTGGGCGTGATTGACCTGAAGCAGCGGATCGACAGCATAGTGATACAGAACCTGGGGAAAGTTCTGGCGGAGCAGGTGCCATTACGAAACTGGCTATGGGAGAGGGCGGCCGGCTTCCCGCTTGGCCTAGCCACGATTTACGCCCATCCGTCGGTGCTGAAACATTGGCTGGGTGGTGGCACGAGGTGGAAAGCGGCGGTAAAGACGTTGTGGGATTCAAAGTTGGTAGTGTCAGAATGTTATATTGTCTAGCCTGCAGTGGGGTACTCTATAGCGAGTACAGCCCAATCTAGGGTTTGCTATTTGTACTCAACTGCCTGCTAGTTCAAACCCTCTTTCTGTTCCTAACTTCTGCCTAACTTGTTTCGACATGCTATCAGAGCAGGTCGACCCCCTTGGGTCGATCCTGTGGGTGGGCCCACCACCTAACTGCTTCCGCTGCTGTTATGCTTCTCGCGCGCCTCGGGCGTGCGTCGTCTTCTTCCTGCCGTGCGCTCGGGGCGCGCGGCGGTTTTCTGCCCGCCGTGCGCCCCGAGGCGCACGGCGGTTTCCTATCGTGGGGGACCCGCGCGCGCCCCCGCCCTGTCCGTCGCGTCGCCCTAGGGGACCCGCGCGCTGCCTCCGCTGCCCCGTCGGTGGTCGCATCGCCCCGCCACCCCGTCGCGCCGCCCTGGGGAGCCGCGCGCGACCCCCCGCTGCCCTGTCGACAGTCGCGTCGACCAGCTGGAGCCGCGCGCGGCTCCCGATTCCCCGTCGCGCCGTCCTGGGGAGCCGCGCGCGACCCCCCGCTGCCCCTTCGCGGCGCCCTGGGGAGCCGCGCGCGGCCCCTCGCTGCCCCGTGGTGGCGCCCTGGGGGCCGCGCGCCGTCCCCCTCGCCGTCCCCCGCGCTCCTTCCCCCGTTCCGCCCGTTTTAGGGTTTGGGGGTGGGGAGTGTGGGGGTGGCGGTTGTGGGGGTGCCGGTTGTGTGCCCCGTCCCCTCCTCCTCCTCCTCCTTCGTCTCCCGCTGCTGCAGCTGCCGCTCAGGGGGGTGGTTGTGTGGGGAGCCGAAGGAGTGGTGCTAGGGGGGTGAAGGGGGAGTGGAGCTAGGGGCGCAGCAGGGGGTGTGTGTCGAGGGGTGTGGGACTGTTGGGGGAGATTGAGTGGAGGTTGCCGTCGTGTCGTCCGCAGCGCCTGTATTCCGGGGTTCTGATAGCCACCGGTAGCTCAGAGAGCCGGTTGCACCTGTCGCCCGTGGGTCCGTTGCTCCTGTCGCTGCTGATCAGACGCAGAGCCAGTTACTCCTGTATTCCGGGGCACTTGCTCCCGGTAGCCACTAGCGTTGCACCAGAGCCGTCTGTTGCCCGTGTGTCTGCAGCTTCAGTCGTCGCCTCCCATCTACTCTCCTCTCGCCAGCCCTCCTCCTCCTCACTTGCCCTCAGTGACTGCCTCTACCTTTGCTCATAATTTATGAACTATTGCTATTGTGACTGCTTGTTGTGCTGATTACACCCCACTTTGGCTATGGGGGTGTGTCAGAATGTTATATTGTCTAGCCTGCAGTGGGGTACTCTATAGCGAGTACAGCCCAATCTAGGGTTTGCTATTTGTACTCAACTGCCTGCTAGTTCAAACCTCTCTTTCTGTTCCTAACTTCTGCCTAACTTGTTTCGACAGGTAGTCATGGGCGATCCTGCGCACAGATGGGATGCAGAGGAGGAGCAGTTGCTTTTCAACCGGAAATTTTTCTTCAAGGGTGGCTCACCTTTCGGGAACCAGGCGGGCTCACACTGTCTGAAGGGCGTCCGTCTGGGCGACCTGGTCGCCAAAGGAGCAAGTGGTGGGAGGAGTCTCAAAAGCGAGGCGGTGTTGGAACGGGAATTGGGCGGAGAGGAGCAGAGGAAATGGGCCCTCAAGGCGTGGGAGGCGACGCCCCAGGGATGGAAAGATCTACTACTCGGTCAACTAACAGCGGAGGAGGTTTTCAGGGAGACGGGGCTTATCTGTACACCGTCGTACCGGCCGAGAGAGTTCTTTTACTATCGACTGGAACACGTGGAAGAAGGGGTGTTATATGGGAAAAGTGTGGAAGTGGATAAGAAGGGCTTCGTATCGACGGTGAGATATGCGGATGTGGTGGCGGTGGATTTCCTGCGAGCTACGCCTATGGCGGTCATCGACGGGAGGGTTCGTGGCCCGCTAGGAACTCCAAGGACAAGGCTGCTCCACACACCGATTTGTGACAAGGGAGAGCGAGCCGAGCTGAGACAGCTGAGGAAGGCGATGAAACCCCCGGTGTCCCAGCCTAAGCAACAGTTGAGATGGGAGGAGGAGATGGGGAAGAAGATCGATTGGGGGAAGGCCACCACGGTCCGGGACTCTTTGGCAACTCCATGCAGAGCAAGGGAGGTGGTGCTGAGGCTGCACAGCAACAACCTGCAAGTGGGGGAGAGGCTGCCCTTCCTGGGGGAGAGGGCGAAATGTGTGCATTGCGGAGAGGTGGAGTCGCAAGATCACTGTTTGTTCAGCTGCCCGGTGATCCAGCCGGCGGTCAAGATGATGAAGGGGGCGGTACAGTGCATGAACCCGGGCAGGGAAATGAAGTCCCTCGGAGACATGTTGTTTCAGAAGAGTGGCACGTCGACCTGTTTTCCGGAAGCTGCAATCATTTCGATCACAGCACAGCAAGTGTGGCTGGAGAGGTGCAATGCGGTGTTTCGTGGCAGTCGCTTTCAACCGAAGAGAGCACTGAGACGCATAGCGGTTGGTTTTACAAGGCACGTGAAGGTATACAGCAGAGCGCGGAAACGGTCGGCTGGCAGGGGTGTTTCAAAGAGGACGGGGGAGTGGATGTCAAGAGAGTAAGCATAAGCAGGAGCCATAGCTAGGAGAACCCTAGCTAGGCAAGAGAAAGTTTAGGCAAAGAGGAGGTTCACTAGCAGCAATGAGGATACATATAGCAAACCCTAGATGGGTTGTACTCGCTATAGAGCACCCCACTACAGGCTAGAGAATAACATTCTGACACACCCCCATAGCCAAAGTGGGGTGTAATCAGTACAATGAGCAAGCAGGTAGAAAGCAGGTTCACAAGTGCAAGCAAAGCTAGAGGCATTCACAAAGGGCAAGTGAGGAGGAGGAGGAACTGTGGAAGGAGAGAAGATGAGAGGCGACGGCTGAAGCTGCAGACACACGGGCAACAGGAGTCAAACTGGCACAGTGGCTACCGGAACAGCGCCCCGGACTACAGGAGTAACTGGCTCCGCGGCTAAGAAGAGCGGCAGACGAGCAACGGACCCACGGGCGACTGGCGCAGCTGGCTACGACTGGGCTACCGGAACAGCGCCCCGGACTACAGGTGCTGCTGACGACAAGACGGCAGCCTCCGCTCAACCTCCCCCGACCGTCCCACGCCCCTCTCACACACCCCCTGCTGACACCCTAGCTCCACTTCCACGGCACCCCCCTTAAACCCTAAACCTCGGCTCCCACACATCCACCCCCCTCAGCGGCAGCTGCAGCAGTGGGAGACGGAGGAGGAGGAGGAGCAGGGGACGGCGCACACACACGGCACCCCCAGAGCTGCCACCCCCACACTCCGCACCCCAAAACCCTAAAAACGGGCGGAACGGGGGAAGGAGCGCGGGGGACGGCGAGGGGGACGGCGCTCGGCCCCCAGAACGCGACCACGGGGCAGAGAGGGGCCGCGCGCGGCTCCCCAGGGCGGCGCGACGGGAAATCGGGGCCGCGGGGGGGTCGCGCGCGGCTCCCCAGGGCGGCACGACGGGAAATCGGGGCCGCGGGGGGTCGCGCGCGGCTCCCCAGGGCGGCACGACGGGAAATCGGGGCCGCGGGGGGTCGCGCGCGGCTCCCCAGGGCGGCACGACGGGAAATCGGGGCCGCGGGGGGTCGCGCGCGGCTCCCCAGGGCGGCACGACGGGAAAACGGGGCCGCGGGGGGTCGCGTGCGGCTCCCCAGGGCGACGGGATCGCGGGGCCGCGGGCGACGGGACCGGAGGGCCGCGGGCGACGGGATCGGGGGGCCGCGGGCGTCCCCCACGGTAGGAAACCGCCGTGCGCCTCGGTGCGCACGGCGGGGAGAAAACCGCCGCACGCCCCGAGCGCGCGGCGGGATGAAAATGTGAAGGTCGCGCGCCACGGGGCGCGCGACACTGAGTAGGGCAGCGGAAGCAGCAGTGGGGCCCACAGGCCAGGAGCGTGAAGGCTCTGTTACCATGTCAAGAGAGTAAGCATAAGCAGGAGCCATAGCTAGGAGAACCCTAGCTAGGCAAGAGAAAGTTTAGGCAAAGAGGAGGTTCACTAGCAGCAATGAGGATACATATAGCAAACCCTAGATGGGTTGTACTCGCTATAGAGCACCCCACTACAGGCTAGAGAATAACATTCTGACAGTGGAGTCATCTGCATGCCGACGAGGCAGCGGCTCTGGGCAGGTTGTATGAGAACGAAGCCTCGATGACGTGGAGAACGGGTTTCACGGCTGTGTGGAAGGACGGCGGTGTCGCTTTCCAGCCCCCGTAAGGTGGAAGGGGGGGCCTGGTTACCTGTAACCATCTACATGCCCTCCTAGTATCAGTTACAACTGCGAGTGTATATATGCGTGTAGTGTACTTATGCTCACCAAAAAAAAAAAAAAAACAAGAGGCGACTACATCGTCTTAGGGTTGCGAAGCAACAGGTTGTAACATGTTTTTTATTTTTTAATGAATTACACTTCCATTTATAGAAACACATGACATATAATATATGATTATATAACTGAATCGCTGTGGTCGTTTAGAGTACAGATTTGGATGTTTCACAATGTATAAAATATGTGCTTCTTGAGAACTTATTTGTGTTTGGTTATTCTTGTTATGTTCATATTATTTGATTTTAAAATCAAAATGTTTTTATACTTTAACGTCAGAAGGCGTTTATACTTTGACGTCAGAAGGCGTTTGGATTGTTTGCGTGACGATATCGACAAACAAGTGTATTTTACGTCTGCAATTTCGCGCAAAAGTCTCCTTCCGTGGTAGTTGACAACAGGAATCGAACCTGAAACCTTTCGAATAGTTTTTCAACTTATACCGTCTGCGCTAAAGCCGCTGATATTCTGCAGCGTCGTGAAAAAAACTGTAAAAACTGTGTGTGTTATTGTCAGGTTTCGAAATGTGTCGTCTGCAGGAACTGAACTAGCGACTTTTCGATAGCACATCGAAGTTCAACTAATTGCGCCAACACTGTTATGTTAAGCAACTCGAAGTTCTTTGTAGGTCGATTAGCTTTGCGACGAATCTGACACCTTTTTAGGGTTTGTTATTCCCTTTTCTTCTCCCTCGCTGGCTGAGCTTCGCTCATGTTTGACTCTACCTACCAGAACGAGTTCCTATCCTACTAAGGTGAGAGCTACCTTAACCCATCAAGTAGATTAAGTTAGACGATTAAGAGCTAGACGAATGTTGGCCTAAGACATGTTAGTATTGCTCGTGTTGGTAGCTTCTAAAGGATGAAAGTCGTTTAAGGCTTAGGTTGTAAACTTGCTGCAAAAAATTTAGCTGCAGGTTTTCCATAAGCCTGCATCCGTTTTCCGGTTCTTCATTGACTAACATCTCCTAATCTCGTGTCTTAACTGTTTCTAAAGGATGCGGCTTGTTTAAGCTAAGGGTAGAGGCCCATTGTAAAGACTTCGCCTTTTTTCCTCACATTTTTTAGGTCATATCTTCGTCTCTTACTGCATATCTAGCATCTATTTCTTTTGTTTTTCATCGTTTCTGCCTTTCGTCTCTACGTCGTATGCATATTTTCACTTTTTGTTGTTCCTAGATCTAGAACCGTCATATCCTCCTATTTGCCGCGAAGTCGCTTTAGGCCTAAGATTTCTGTCGGTTTATTCATTATCTTTCATAATCTCATTGCTTTTCATTCTCGTATGGCGTCTCTCTCCTTGTCCAACTTTCTCGCTCGTCCCCCTCCGCCTCGTCCGCCCACCTCTTTCCTTTGTCCGCCTCACTTTGTATCTCCTTACTACTTTCTTCTCTTGTTCGTTCACTCTCTCTCTCTCTTGTTCCTTCTCTCACGTTCTCTCTCTCTCTCTCTCTCTCTCTCTCTCTCTCTCTCTCTCTCTCTCTCTCTCGCTCTCTCTCTCTCTCTCTCTCTCTCGTTCTCTCTCTCTCTCTCTCTCTCTCTCTCTCTCTCTCTCTCTCTCTCTCTCTCTATCTCTCTCTCTCTCTCTCTCTCTCCCTCTCTCTCTCTCTCTCTCTCTCTCTCTCTCTCTCGTTCTCTCTCTCTCTCTCTCTCTCGTTCTCTCTCTCTCTCTCTCTCTCTCTCTCTCTCTCTCTCTCTCTCTCCCTCTCTCTCTCTCTCTCTCTCTCTCTCGCTCTCTCTCTCTCTCTCTCTCTCTCTCTCTCTGTGAAATTCACACCTAAGGGATATCGTTGTTTCCTGTTTTGTTACTTGCTCTGTTTTTTGGGTTCTGTTTTTATATGTATATCTATGTTCACCACCATTAGCTTGCATCCTGTTTGGTTATTATGCTTTTCTCCTCACTGCCTTGCTTTCTTTTTCCATTTTCTTCGCGATTTGATACTTCTTTTCTCCTCCCCCCCCGGTTCCATCTTTCCCTCTGCTTCATTCGTTGCTATTTGTTTTTCCAGATTTTTCTTTGACTTTCTTTCCAGATGTGTACATCTGCGAAGCGAAGAGTTCATGTGAAGTGGATAGTAGTGGTGACTTGTAAAATTGTATTGTATTGATGTTCACATGTTTTATTGTTTTGCAGTTTGTGCATTAGTTTTTTTTTTTTCTTTTTGTGAATGTGTGTGATGTTGTATATGCGTTTGTATGTATGTATGTGTGTGCGTGTGTGTGTGCTATGTGTACGTGCACTCATCCACATCCATCGCAATAACAATGCATGTCTGTGAATTTTAAAAAGATGGCTCAAGTCTATCATTTCACATAAGGTTCATTGGCGCACAAAGTGACTCGTGTGCGACCACTTCGAACTGGATTTGATAGGTTTGACCATTTTTTTAGAATATACAGACTGTGTTGTTTCATGTGACTGTTGATTATTCAAAAGCCAAGCTATTGACCTCCCCCCCATGCTAGGCAGGGGATGGCGGTAGCTTAGTTTTTGGGTAGTTAACTGTCACGCATTTTATTACCATATGTACATATGCATCAAGACGTCTCATACCGTACATTATGCATCTTATAGCATCATTTATGCATTAAGCATGCATCTATTCATCATTATCATAATAGCATCTAATAGTAAAACATGGACGTATTATATTAAAAATTATGCATCTTATAGCATCATTTATGCATCAAGTGTGCATCTGTTTATCATTACCACAATAGAACAGTAAAACATGCAACCAGTACAGCAAATCTGCACTAACAACTGCAAAAATATCACATGATTTAATGCACTGTAAACAGTACCAAACTGCTAAACATGCATACAGTATGTGAAGAGTATTACTGTAGCTTACGAATTTTAATTTCATGATTTTCATAAATTAATTAATCATGAAAATAAAATTTGGCAAAATCGATCGTAAAGGGTTGCTTCGCAACCCAAAAAAAGCAGTTTTGGGAGCAGAATGGAGCGCCACATCATCCACTCCACGCCAAAATGCTGGACTTTGACCTCTGCTCGTCTAGAGCTTCGTCTAAGGCAAGAATTCGTCCTCGCTTGCAATTGCGAGGCAAGGAATCGAGTGGGGTGGGACGAAGAAGAAACCCAATACCCCTCCCACTAGGTGTACCCACCGTCTTGCTCTCCGCGTTGTCAATAGTTGCGGCAGCACTGGATGCCTCACTCCACGCCAAAATGCTGTGGCATTTCCCTTGACTAACTGGGCAATCACCCTGTCTCGATTGAAAGATACAGGTGTTTCTAATAGGAGCCCTGATTTCGACAAGGACATGTTTGTCTCAGCCTTGAAAAACTTACATTGTTTTGCAAGACTTGTCCCTGTGATATCGCACCCAAACGCCACACGCATCTCGCCCCTTGATGGTCACTTAGTAGAATTTAAAAACCATTCAGGCCTAGTTCTCTGCTGCTCGTTGCATTTCGTTGGGGCATTCTCGCTTGGAAACCGGTCATGTTCTTCCCCACCCTTCAAAAGTTTTCGAAGTTTACGACTCTGCTCCAAACCTCTAGTTCAACGTTGCACTTCCTAACCTGGCCCCCAAACCCATCATCCATTGATTCGTTTCCCGAGGAAATAATGCTTCCCATCCCCAAACAGATGCAACCTATGCTCTCATGCTTTCCATCCCACAAAAAATGGTGGAACGCAGTTTCCCAGGCCTTTTCTTAGTTTCGAAGTCATCCAGACTGAGATTGTGCACGATAAGCCTGCACGGGAAAGACTTCCCTTCGTTCTCAGCAGAGAGAGTTCCCTTCCTCCCACTACAGCACATTTGTCGAAAGCCCACGACGCTAGGCCCTGTCAACATGGCTGTTTGTGTCAAAGCCGTGCCCACAAGTTTTTTATCGTTTGCGGGCAGTGGAAGGCAAGAGGGTGTACTCGGATTTTGCGGCGCTCGACGTCCAGCGAGAATTCTGTCTCTTTGGCAGAAAGACAACTTGAATGTTTACTACTCTATTTGTAGTGTCGTTTCACGAGCGCACCTGAATCCGTTTCGATTCTGCGGTTGATGATGGATCACACGGTGATAGATCACTGCCAGCCGAGCTGATGCGAAAAATTGGTTTGGGTGGCTGGGGAACTCAAGAACCCCGTCAGTAATCTACGCAGCCAATCACAGGCGATCGGAAGATGTATCACAGTTTAGTACCTGGTCATCGACGTAGATACCAGCTGTCTTTACTGAGTAATCGACAAAAAGGTGAGGAGTGGTGGGTGTGTCGTTAGTGGCCAGCATGCCTTCTGTCGTGTATTGCCGCCGAGACGACTCCGAGTAGGTTCAGACATTCCGTTTCGAGCAGTCGGGTTTCATTTGCGTGGAAGGCGCGGCGGCGCCTAGCGCTCGCTTTCGACCTCAGAAAGGACGCACCGCCGATGCGCGGGCAAAGGTCAATTTCTCTCCTCCACCCCCTCTCGCTCGCTTCTCCACCTGGCAACGGGTCAATGCGCGACCCTCGGAAGATCGGCTCTCCCCGCCGAGGATGATAAGCTCCCCGCGGAGGAGAAGGATAAGCTCTCCCCCGGGATAATAGGAGCTCTCCCCCGCTACGCTGGACACTAAATAGTGCAGTCGCTAAGTCAAGCGCTTGACTTCCCCTTTGGTCCTCGCGCTGCTTGTGCTTGACTTTCCCCTTTGGTCCTAGCGCTTTCTAGGGCGAGGGGAAGACCTCTCGGGGAAAAGGTCCCCATGGGAGCGGGAAGGGGGAAGGGGAGGGGAGGGGAGGGGGAAGAAAGAGGAGGGAGGCGAGACTTCCTATCGTACATAAGCCCGCGCTTGGGGCTCAATCCACATACTACTATCGCCTTCGCTGCTCGCGACTCACCCCTTTCTGGTTCCTGCTTACCTGTCCTGCTTACCTGTCCTGCTTACCTATCCTGCTTAGCTATCACTGAGAGCATCATGGGCTCCCGTGGACTCGTGCTCGCTGCATTGGTTGCTCTCGTGCTCTCGGGTATGATGCGGCATCATGGGTTCTTGTGGGCTCGTGCTCGCTGCGCTCGTGGCTCATCCTGCTCTCATGCACACCTACCTTTTCCTTGATCTCCGCCTTCTCTCCTTACTTCCTCTCCTCTCCCTCTCCCCTCCCCCTCTCCCCCCCACTCCCCCTGCGCGCCAGTGTGTGCGCCTATGGCGGAGGCTATCCGCGACGCTCCGCTGCCGCCCTGCCCGTGGGGGCAGGCTAGGATAGACGGCAACTGCGCTGGTGTGTGCTTCACCCCTCTCCCTCTTGCGTGCTACACATGGCTGCACCCTGAATTCGCGCACGCCTGTATCGCCAACCTTCTGAAATCTCCCTGACTGATCTGTGCCTGCTGCCATACCTTCTACATGCCGTACATGTCACCAACATCTCTTGACCCCAAAATATCGCTCCTCGTTTCGTGTTTGTGCGTGTTACATGCCTGCACATGTTCTCCTCACGTGCTCACGTGTGTTCTCTGTGTGTCTGCGTGTGTCCTCCACGTGTTGCCTGCCTGCTCCAGACAAGTGCAAGTTTGCGGGTTGTGGCACCGACTCGGTGTGCAAGAAGAACGACACGGGCGACGCAGTCTGCGTGTGCATCAACCCCGAATACGTGCTGCAACCCGACAAGTCATGCGCACGTACGATACATCACCCCTTTGCTTCGGTGGTTGAGGCTCCCCCCCTTTTACTTTGAGCATGCTGGAAGGGTGCCCCTCCCCTTAGCTGGAGCGTTGTGTTCTTCCTTGGTGGCTGAATCTCATTGTGTCTTTTCTTCTTTCCCCTCCCCCCCCCCCCTCTTGCCCATGCCCCATGCCCCATGTCTCGCCTTGGCCCCACTGCGCCACGTGGCAGGGTCGTGCGCCACCATGGAGTGTGCGAGACTTTCATCTCAGCCTGATCGTTCTCTTGCCTCCATGCTCCTGCCCCATGCCCTTGCAGACCCGTGTGCCGGCACGTGGTGTGCCATGGATGACCCCAATTCCTCGTGCGTGAAGCAGGAAGGCCAGCTGGCTACGTGCGTCTGCAACTGGGGCTTCGCCATGACGCCCGACCGGGGCTGCGTCGGTCAGTGCTGCTCTGCTGCGCTTCGCATCTGCCTGCTTCAAGCTTCTTAACTCTCACCCGCTTCATTCTGCTGCCTGCTCCTTGTGTACCTCTCTTCCTTTTCTGCCCGCTCTCGTCTCACCCACCTCCCTCCCCTCCCCCCCATCTCTGCCCTCCCTTGGCAGACTCATGCAGGCTTAAGGCCTGTGTGGACGGCACGTGCAGCAAGGATGAAAATGGGATGGCCGTCTGTTCCTGTGACGCCGAGGCTGGCTTCAAGCTGCAGCTTGACGGCAGGACGTGCAAGGGTACGTGCTCAATATGGTGCGCGCTGCTGCGGTAGGTGCTGCTGTTGGCTTAAGCTGGTGTATGTTGTGCTGTTTGCAACTCCTGTATGTGCTGCTGTGCTGCTACGTAGTTTCTAACTTGGCGTCTCGTCTCTTCCGCACTTGTCTCCCGTCCGCCTTTCAGACGTGTGCGTCATCGAGGACTGTGAGGGCAAAGACGCCAATTCTACGTGTGTGAGGAATCTGGACGTGGCCCACTGTGTATGCAAGACCAACTTCCAGCTGTTCGAGGGCGTATGCACTGGTACGCTCATAGGTCTTAGTTTGTGTGTGTCTGGGTGTCTTCCTCTCTGTCTTAACTAATGCGTCCGCTTTACTCTCCTCTCTCAAGCTACCTTATGCTCACTCCCCTCCACGCCTCCCCTCCACCCCTCCCCTCCGCATCTGCCCACCCAGACACGTGCGAGGTGAAGGCGTGTGTGGATGGCACGTGCACCCAGGACGTCAACGGAACGGCATCGTGCCATTGTGACGCCGACGCTGGCCTCGTGCTGCTGGATGACGAGAGGACGTGCCAAGGTAAGGGCCGGCGATTGTCAATGCTGACAATGGTAGGTGCCACTGTGTTCTACTTTCCGAACTTTCTCATCTTTCCTTTCGTTTCCGTTTCACCCCCCTTGCAGATGTGTGCATTATCAAGGACTGTGAAGGCAGTGATGCCAACTCCACGTGTGTCAAGAATGGCATCGTTGCAACCTGTGTCTGCAAGACTGGATTCGAGCTGTTTGACGGCAAATGCACTGGTATGCAGCACGCTTCCTGATCTCACTTTCAGTGTGCCTGGGTGACTGGGTCTGTCTCTCTATGCATGCATATGTTGGTTTTTGTCACATTTCTCTCCTTCTCAATCAACCTTTTGCTGAATCACCCCTCTTTCCACTTCTCTCTCGCATCTGCCCTCACAGACACGTGCGAGGTGAAGGCGTGTGTGGATGGCACGTGCACCAAGGACGTCAACGGAACGGCATCCTGCCATTGTGACGCCGACGCTGGCCTCGTGCTGCTGGATGACGAGAGGACGTGCCAAGGTAAGGGCCGGCGATTGTTGCTGCTGAGTAGGCCCCCCTGTGTTTGCAACACTGTTATGTGCTGCTGTGGGCTCAATCTCGTGTGTGTTGTGCCGATTGCAATTGCTGTACTACTGTGCCGTCTTGTCTCTCTCTCTCCCACTTCTCTCCCGTCCGCCTTTCAGACGTGTGCATCATCGAGGACTGTGAGGGCAAGGACGCCAAGTCCATGTGTGTGAGGAATCGGGACGTGGCTCACTGTGAATGCGTGATCAACTACGAGCTGTTCCAGGGCGTATGCACTGGTACGCTTCCTGGACTCACTTTGTGTGTGCCTGGGTGTGTGTCTCTCTGTGGGTGCGTATGTGTATCTGCTTTTCATTGACTCGTCCACGTTTTACTGCTCTCTCAAACTACCTTTCGCTTACGCCTCTCCACCCCTCCTTCCACATCCCCTCCGCCCCTGCCCTCCCAGACACGTGCGAGGTGAAGGCATGTGTGAATGGCCTGTGCCGCCAGAACAGCATTACTGGAGCGGCATCCTGCCATTGTGACGCCGACGCTGGCTTCGTGCTGCTGGATGGCGAGAGGACGTGCAAAGGTAAGGGCCGGCGTTTGTCGATGCTGACAATGGTAGGTGCCACTGTTTCCAAGGCTGTTATTTGCTGTTGTGCTGCAGTCATCTCCTATTTCCCAAACTTTTTTCCTCTTTCTTATTCATCTCTGTTTGACCCTCCGTGCAGATGTGTGCATTATCAAGGACTGTGAAGGCAGTGATGCCAATTCCACGTGTGTCAAGAATGGCACCGATGCCACCTGTGTCTGCAAGACTGGGTTCAATCTGTTTGAGGGCAAATGCATTGGTATGCTTGCCCTTCCTGCCACCACCCCTCCCCTCTCCCCTATACCTGCCAGCTCAGGGGCTGGTAGTTCATAATAGGCCCTTTGCATTTACTGCTTCTTTTGCTCTCCCTCCCTCGGCGTATGTGTGCGTCTCTATGCATTTGTGCTTTCTCATTCCTTTTGTGTTTATGTGTGTTTGTATGCCCACGCCACTCCCCCTTCTCAGAAGCCACCTTTGCTTCCACTTTTCCTTCAACCCTGCCCTTCCAGACACGTGCGAGTTGAAGGGGTGTGGCGTAAACGGCAAGTGCCACAAGGACAGCACCACTGGAGAGCCATCCTGTGTTTGCGATCTGGGCTTCACGCTGCAGCCTGATGGCACCACGTGCAAAGGTACGTGCTCACCATGCTGTTTCCTACTCTCCTATTTCTTAGGGCATCTGCTCAATTTTCAAAAACGTCCTCCATTAAACCTTAACCCTCAACCAACCTCCAACCCCTCTTTTCTGACCCTTTTGTCAACCCATTCTTCCAATCCCCTACCCTCAGATAACTGCGAGATCCTGAGCTGCACTGGTCCCAAGGAGCACTGCGCCAAAGAGGTCATCACCGGCCAGGCATACTGCAAATGCGATGATTACTTCCACAGGGCAGTTGGCGGCTTTTGCCAGGGTACGTGTTTTGCAGCAGCAGCTTCACTCGTTTGCCTATCTTCTCCCCTTCTCTTAGCTTGCGCATTCTATTTCCCTTGCACCTCTTCGCACCTCCCGTTTCCTGCTGTTGGCATGTGGCAGCCTGCTGTTCTTGTGGGAAAGGACGGGGAGGGTTTGTATCATCCTCTAGATCGTGCATCAGAAAGAAGTGTTTTTTCCTCATCCCCCCCGTCCAGATTGGTGCCCCTTCAAGGGCTGCAACACCACCATCTCAACTTGCGTGAGGAGGGTGGACGGGATTCCCTTCTGCATCTGCAACAAGGGTGTCCCGCTGACCACCAAGGCTTGCGTTGGTAAGAACCTACTTATTCCTCCTGCATGTGTCTTACAATATCCTCCCTCTCCCTTCCACCCAAATCCCCCCCCTCCCCCGTCCCTTATCCAATTCTTCGGTCATCCTCTTTCTCTCACCCTATCCCTAGGAGATTCTTCCCCAGTCGTTGTCCAACCCCGTCAGCTTGTCCCTTGCATATTCATCTCCTTTTCCGTCTCCCCCCATCATCAGGCAAGGTGCCCTCAGCATGGCCGTGAGGAATGTCTACTCAACTGATGGAACACCCTCATTGCTCTCGTGATGGCACGCTCGCATCACTCCTGTGAAGGCACACCCTCGTCAGCCCATCAGCTAGTTTTGAAGATGTTTTTCTTGCACACTATCGCACAGCTGCCAAAGAGGATGAAGGCATGATTTGCGTGCATCAGGACAGTCCCTGCTTGAGTGCCTCTAGAAGGGAGGATATATAGAAGAGGCTTGGCCCTTGTGTGGCCTAGAGGGGGCAGGATCTCCATGCATCACGGTACAAGGCGTCAGCCGCATTCACTGGGAAACAGGGCTTCCTTTGTTGTATTTCTGGGCGTTTGGCTGGTCATGGTGTGTGTTGGCTGTCCATTTTGCTTGCTTTTGTTTGTTTGTCCATTTTGCAGAGCCGGTTCTAGCGGTTGCTGAATAAGGGAGTGTAATGTACCCCTTAGAGTACATGGCTAGCTAGAAATGTCTTGTACTAGAACCATTAGTAACTGTTTGCTTTACAATTACTATTAAGATTGGATTTCCTAATTCAAGGCCCATAAGAATGACCAGCAGCATTGCAGTTACTAAATGATGCACACTAATTGAATGCAGTATGAAAAGAGTGTAGAGGTTTTTCACACTGAATGCTTCAAGGTTACGGGAATTTGTCAGAATCGAAAGTGTTTTTTTTTCATTGATGCAGGTTGGGGTACATATAACAAACCCTAACATTTGTACCCCCTAAGACAAACCTCACTACAGGCTACAATATTTGACACACCCCCATAGCCTAAGTGAAGGGTGTCACACAAAACCAAAGGTGTACTTTCTCAAGACTAGTCTCAAAGAAACAAAGCCCAGGGTGGATCACAACGTCACCACACACTCTGAGCACAAGCAACAGAGGCCACAAGGCCAGTCCTAGAGTTCACAGAGGTATATAGCAAGTGTACAAGCAAAGCAAACAGTAAACTCAAGCCTACGCAAGACGAGAACCAGTGTCAACAAGGCCTAACTGCACACAGCACCTCTGGTGGTCACAAGGCGGAAGCGCCTTGGTGAAGATGTCTGCAGTGTTGGCCTCGGACTCCACAAACTCAAAGCGAGCCTGTCCACGCCTCTGCAACTCTCGCAGAAGGAAGTACCTGACGTTAATGTGCTTCACTCTGCTCTCCAGTCGCGGCTCTCGACAGAGAAGAGAATCGACGCCTTGTTGTTAGTGAACAAGGTCGGTGCAGAGCTCGGCCGCTCACCAAGGTCGGCGAGCAAGAAGGTCAACCAACGCAGCTCCTGTGCCGCCATGGCACCAGCGTAGATCTCAGCCTCAGCGGTAGAGGTCGAGACCGAGGAGGAACGCGTGGACCTCCAAGAAACAGCTCCAGAACCCAGACTGAAGCAGTACCCCTGAGTAGACCTGAGAGTCTCAGCGTCGTCAGCGTAAGAAGAGTCACAGTGACCAGTAAGTACGACAGACTGCTGCCCTCCAAGAACCAGCCCCACGCCTAATGTCGTCGCTAGGTACTTCGCCACCCTCACAGCTACCGTTCGGTGAACGGGATGGTGTCTCCCTGGCGCAACAAATCGAGCAAGGATGCTGAGAGGGAAGGCGAGGTCCGGACGAGTACAAGTCATCAGGTACATGAGGCAGCCCACCAGCTCTGCGTAGGGACCACTAGGCTCAAACGGCTCGTCAGGAAAGGGACCAGTGAGTCTGTGGTCAACAGCAAGGGGTGTGCGCTGTACTGTGGAGTGCTGAAGCCCGAACCGCTGAAGGACCTGCTGCACCATGTGTGACTGTGAGAGTGTAATGGTGCGAGCAGCTCTGTCCCTGGTGATCTGCAGGCCAAGGTAGTGGCGCAGCTCACCTAGGTCAGTGCACGTGTGTCTCTTCTGCAGTTCGGACTTCATGTTTGCCAAAGCAACCCTGTCAGCAGTGGCAAAAACTAGGTCGTCGACGTAGACAAGAACAAAGAACGGTGTGGAACCACGACGAACGAACAGTGACGGGTCGGCAGAAGACGGCTGGAAACCAAGGTCAGACAGGGTAGAACGAAGGGTGTCGTGCCACTCACGAGGAGCCTGACGGAGACCGTAGACCGGTCGCCTCAGTCTCCACTGGGTCCCAGGAGGGAAAGTGCCAGTGAAGGCAGAGGGACGACGCAGCCAGACCTCCTCGTGTAGGCTACCCTGAAGAAAAGCAGTAGAGAAGTCGAGAGAGTGTAACTCGTAGTCTCTCTGTGCTGCTACGTGCAGTAACACCCAAAGAGTGGTCATCTTCGGGGTAGGCGCGAAGGTCTGAAAGAAGTCAACTCCCTCGCGCTGACTGAAACCTCTAGCCACGTAGCGCGCCTTGAAGACCAGAGGAGATCCCGGTGGCCGCTTCACCCTGTAGATCCACATGCCATCGACTACGTTCGCCCCAGGGGGGGGAACCTCGTCGACGTAGGTGCCTGTGGATCTGTAGGAGGCCATCTCTGCGTCCATGGCAGCTCTCCACTGAGAGGCCCAAGGCCCTGACACTGCCTCAGTGTAAGTGCGAGGAGTCGGTATGTCAAGGGCGTCAGGGTCTCCCTCAGGGGAGAGGAGCATGGCACAGAGATGAGGGGAAGCGGCTGCCAGGAACTCTAGCTCAAACTGCCTGTCCTCTAGGGCGTCACAGCCAAGGGCAGACACACCCCCGACGGCCAGAGGACTGGTAGGAGGAGCAGCCACAAGACTGGTGGCGTAGTCAAGGCGGCGAGTAGAGGCAAACTCAGTGACTGCGGCAGTAAGAGCGGAGACAGAGGACAGAGAGGCACGAGGGTGGGTAACAAGAGAGGCGAGAACACGAGAGAGAACAGGACGGTACGTGCGGTAGTAGTCAGTGACAGGAGTAGAGAGGGAAGCAGTGAGGGCCGACTCAGGGGGAGAAGGAAGCACAGACAGAGAGGAACAAGGCGGACTAGGACGGAACAGGGCAGTGCGAAGGTCTGTGAGAGCGACAGGGGACGAGGGACGAGCACGAGGAGAGCGACGAGAGGGCCAAGCGTGGGAAGGAGGACGAGACGACTGAGGGGGAGAACGAGGGAAGACAGCAGGGGAGGAGTCAGGAGGAGGAAACGTGGGACCGTAGACAGGAGGAGAGGGGGAGGAGGAAGGAGAGCGAGAGGGGAGACCGAGGGTCCGAAGACCAGAGACAGGAGGAGGAGGCGGCTGCTGCTGCTGCTGCTGCGGCGACTGGTGTTGCTGCTGCTGCTGCCGCTGCCATTCCTCAAGCCGCTGCAATTCGCGCTCCTCTCTCTCCAACTCCAGCTGCTCCTCACGGGCACGGCGAACACGAGCCTGGTGCCGGGTCGGGTAGGGGTGGGAAGGAGGAGTAGTTTCTGGGGCCGTAGCAGCCTCAGGACTGCCCTCCAGAGCACCAGGCGCACCACCCCCAGAGTCAGCACCTGTAACAGTAACATGGCCAGGCTCACCAGAACCCGCTCCCGCACCCCCAGACGCAGCACCCCCAGACGTAGCACCAGCTCCCGGAAGTGTAGAGTCGCCCGCAGCCACGGGCTCAACCTCAACTCCAGCACCCCCAGAACCAGGACCCGGCACAGGTACGCTCTGTGCTCCCACTCCAACGCCTCTAGAGCCAGCACCTGGAGGGTCCCCTCCACGAACACCGGCTCCCACAGGGTGTGCAGTAGGCTGCGAGGAGGACTGCGGGGAAGGAGGCTGCACCTGAGGGGCTACCGAGGGGGGAGGGGTAGCGTGGGACACACCTGACGGGGCTGGACCAGGGGGGGAGGCTGTACCGGGGGAGCAGGAGGGGGAGCGGAAGTCAGGAAGAGAGGGGGAGGAGGTGTCAGAATGTTGTATTTGTCTAGCCTGCAGTGGGGTACTCTATAGCGAGTACAGCCCAATCTAGGGTTCCTATATGTACTCAACTGCTTGCTAGTGCAACTCCTCTTTCTGCCTCTAAACTTTCTACTACCTATCTTGACATGCTATCAGAGCAGGTTGACCCTCCTGGGTCGATCCTGTGGGTGGGCCCACCACCTAAGCCTTCCGCTGCTACTGCTACTGCTACTGCTACTCCCTGTCCGCCGCGCGCCCCGTGGCGCGCGGCGTCGAAACTAGGGTTTTCAGCCCGCCGTGCGCCCCGAGGCACGCGGCGGTTTTCTGCCCGCCGTGCGCCCCGAGGCGCGCGGCGGTTCTCTGCCCGCCGTGTGCCCCGAGGCGCGCGGCGGGTTCCTGCCCCGTCACTCGGCACGTCGCCCCCGGGAGGAGCTGCGACGGGCGACGGGGACCCGCGCGTCGCCCCCCGTCGCCCGTCGTGGCCTGCGCGCGGCCCGTACACCCGGCACGCGGCCCGTACGGGCTGCGCCAGGCCCGCGCGCGGCCCGTACGGGCTGCGCCAGGCCCGCGCGCGGCCCGTACGGGCTGCGCCAGGCCCGCGCGCGGCCCGTACGGGCTGCGCCAGGCCCGCGCGCGGCCCGTACGGGCTGCGCCAGGCACGCGCGCGGCCCGTACGGGAAGCGCCAGGCCCGCGCGCGGCTCGGGCCGCCTGCGCGCGGTTCGGGCGGCTCTACCAGGCCCGTGGGCGGCCCGTTCCTCGCTGCTCCTGCCCTCTCCACTGTCCCCCGTGCTTCTACCGGCGCCTCACCCCTCCTACAGCCCGTTCTCCTGAATTAGGGTTTGGGGGTGAAGAGTGTGGGGGTGGCGGCTATGGGGGTGTCGGTTGTGAGTTCCTCCCCCTGCTCCTCCTCCTCCCTCGTCTCCCTCTGCTACAGCTGCCGCTGAGGGGGGTGGTGTGTGGGAGCCGAGGGTTTAGGGTTTAAGGGGGGTGCCGTGGATGTGGAGCTAGGGTTTCAGCAGGGGGTGTGTGAGAGGGGCGTGGGACGGTCGGGGGAGGTTGAGCGGAGGCTGCCGTCTTGTCGTCAGCAGCACCTGTAGTCCGGGGCGCTTGTTCCGGTAGCCCAGTCGTAGCCAGCTGCGCCAGTCGCCCGTGGGTCCGTTGCTCGTCTGCCGCTCTTCTTAGCCGCGGAGCCAG